AACAATACAAATAGCAAAGATTTTTCGCATCAAGATAGTTTCTTTAGAAATCTAGAACAATAACTATTACCAATGAAATTTATTAGAAATATGTAAGATAATCTCACAAAATAAAATAAAATGAGTAAATTGTTTAAACTTTTACATTTTTCAAAGGAATAAAAAAAAAAATGTTTCCTTGATTTGTAATAATAATAGTATGATGTATGTACTGAAAACCAGTCAATTATAATAAAGCTAACTGCTTATTATATAATGATTTTTGAAATTGAGATAAATATCGATGAGAAAATAGATTTTACCTAACGAATGTTTACATCTAAAAACAACTGCTTGGACATCCATATACTGTTAGTCTAGGGATAAGGGAATCGATTCTCGATGAACGTTACCTGTTAAGAAAACAATGAACAGAAATCGTAATATAATAATGACTTTCATGCTCATTCGGATTAATACTTACGTCATTACTTAATAACGTTTCTACCATTCGAGATAAAGTGTTACCAGAGAAAGACTATAGTAGGAATAACTGGTTGATAGTGTTCAGTTGATAATGTCTTAGTGCTAGAAAATTTATATGAGCCACCCTTTCGTACATGGATCATGTTCTAGTATCTCATGTTTGTTTATATCTAGACGAAGTGAAAGATTGAAATATGTATCAATTATATATAAACAAGATTCTATTATTCTAAACAACTTTTTCTACTGATGTCATATTCTTCCTAATGATAGATAACTGATATTTGAATAGGATTATGCTCTTTCTTAATTCAGTCGTTCCTATCTGGGAGATAAGTAGTTATAATACGTGTATCCATATTCAGTTTGAACTAATCATTTTTGTCACCGATTGAAAACTTGTTCAGCTCTCGAATATTGATAAAACAATAATGAATCTGTGTAGTAGGACACTAAATAAAATTAATATCTCGGCCTGTCCACGTAACGGTACACCTTAGTGGGCGAAGTTGACCTACTCAATTAATTGAAACCAATATGACCATCGTGTAGAGCGATGTTGATAACATATGGAAATATATTTTTTATTTACATAGCTACGACATTTCTTAGAAAAAACTGTACTACGAAGAAGATGTGTCTTAGAAGCGATAAAAGTCAATATTTATTATAAAATCTTATTTGAGGATTTTTTATATAAACAAATATATCTTGTTTAAAACCTCTCTCACACCAACTAACAATGCTTTCGATACTCTGCTTAAATATAGCAAGAGGACTATGTTTCGTCATTTCCTCAGAAAATTATTTACATTTGTAAAGGTAATACATTGGTGAAGATGATTCCGTCACGAAAATTGCTTTTAATTCATTTTTAGTCAGGAGCACTAGGTTTTACATTCTAAAAATCAGTGCTCTAAATACAGTTTTTTGCGCTCTATCCAACCAATGGATTACCCATTTTTATGAACATTCCAGCTGGTCATGAGGATCGTGACGGAATCACCCTCAAACGATTAGGTTTTCTTCACAAAACTTGGAAACATTAACTTTCTCTGAAGTTGTGGCCCTAATGAGATGTTAACATGTATAGAACAGATCGTAAAGCTCGATTAGCTAATTTTGGAGTCATTTTATGATAGTTTCCAGTTAATTTTATCACATGCGTTGGAGAAGCCATTTAGGAGGCATTTCGCGTAAGCCACAACCAATTCCAGCAGAACTTTTCTCAATCGATATCATCACCCTGGCTGATATTTTCATAGTAGATTGATATAGTAAAGTTAGGAAGAAATTAACATTTTCATCTCAAACGAGTGAATCACTATGGAGATAGAGATGTTACAAGTATAGATATTTAGATACATTGGTAGTATCTTGCAAGCAATACTTTTCAGTTAAATTTGATTTTCTAAAGAGCAACAAGAGTTATAACAAAGATTTTTTTACCATACATACTATCGTCCATGGGATATGATGTCTATAGTTCTCACTCAAAACTGATTTGCCATTGAGGAATATTCTCTTCTAAGAACATATGAAAAATTGGGTAAATCGAATATCATCCAGTAAGATTTGAAGAAGTACATCTTCTGTCATCTTTCACAATTATGTCCAAACGAGTTGAAATTTGGGCTTTAGAGGTTCCTTGATACAGGCTCTCATCTAAATCACATAAATCGAACACTTGAGAATAAATCATCAATTTGTATTGTTAGAATCATACGGTAAATTTGACCTTTTTGGTCTTGTTCAAAAAGTTTCGTGTACCAAAGTGGACATGACTTCTACAAATGGCATATGGCATCAGCCAAAAAATATTAATCGATACGACACTTTCAATCCCATAAAAAGATAGAATATTGCCGACAGCATCTATGGCAAAAAAAGATCTCTGTTATAACTCTTGTTGTTCTTTAGAAAATCAAATTTAACTGAAAAGTATTGCTCTGGAAGATACTACAAATGTGTCTCAATACCTATACTTGTAACGTCTATATCTCCATAATGACTCAGTCGTTTGAGATGAAATTTTTAGTTTCTTCCTAACTTTACTAGGTCTATCCACTTGAAAATATCAGCCGGATTGATGAGATCGATTGAGCAAGGTTCTGTTGGAATTGATCGTGGCTGGTGTGCATTACCTCTTAAATGTCAATGTCTAATATATTACTGACGCTTTCGAAAAGAATTTTTGCTTTATCACATAAATGGCCTAAAATGTTTATTTTCGTTGCTTTTTCATACATGACATCGGATTGTTTATTCTGTGGAATTATCTTTATATTTCTGAAGAAAATTAAAGTTGAAAAATATCATCATTTCTCAAATGTGATTCCGTCACGACTCCTTTTTCTGTCTATAAAATTAGCCTTGCGTATTTTTCAAATTTTCTTTTTTTTTGTATATGTAACTCGTCATCAGAGCTATAACTTTTCTAGAGAAACTTTTTTCATTACATTTATAGTTGAGCTAAGTTTTTTAATTCTTTAGCACAACACTCAAAATTCAAGTCCATTTTTGGTGATTCCGTCACGCTTGGACAGGCCGATCTCGATGTTTACACAATCAATTTACTACTGGTACTGGTATAACTAACTAATAATGTATCATATACATTATAAACTAATTAACTATTTTTTGTTATAACTTTTTGTTCAACATATTTCAAATAAATTGTTCTTGCACAGATGCACTTCATTTTTATCGAAATGTTTTTGAAATCAATCTACAAATACTGACATGTAGCAACAAGTGACAATTAAAAATGATGCGATTATGAAAGATTGGTATCTATATTGTATTTTAACATTTCATATACCTACGTTGATTACAATTCGATGACCGATGACTTGATAAAAATTCACTATAAAAGAAAAAACTAAAACAATGCTAATTAACAGCCGAAGTCATTTTATTAGGAAACTCAATCGAGGAAGAAAATTACGATAACAAAGCTAATTTTAGTTATGTTATGATACAGTCCTATTTTGCAAAGAATAGCTAAGACATTCTCAATTAATAAAATATTTATATATTGAAACATTTAATAATATTAAATTTAAAATTGACAATAGACACTAACTTTTAAAAGATATCTTGCATCAAAATAGATAGAATCAATCTATTTAGTTTCGATTAAAACTCATTGCATTCCTTAGTAGCTGATATTATCTTAATCGATTTTCTACAACATATTCTTTTATTCAAAATGGTTCACATATCATGCACAAGTTTCCTTTTGACGTAGAAAACTTATTAGTGACCTATAGCAATTAGTCAAATGACATTTCTGTTTGTAATTCATTATTATAGTTTGTTTCTCGAAACACTCACGAGTTATAATGCATTTTCTTATAAGATTAACATCCTCTATTTAATAAATTTCCAATTTATTGTTCTCATTTTGTTGCAAAGTATATTTTTTTCTTTGATAAAATTTTTCCACATCACTAAGGTTTCCAACAACAATAGAATTTCAATGGCTTTATTTAGCCGATTATTCACACTTATTTTAGCTTTTTCTTTAATCTTTACAACGGTACAATTGAACATGAATATCTTATTGTCAGATGATGTCACATAATATTGATTAAGGCATGCATTATGCATCATTTAATAAGCTATCTTTACTGAATTAAGTGTTCTTTTAACTCGTGTTTCTTTTTCATATCATATACATATTGATCAATGTATGTAGATTTCATGGTTTTTTAAATAGATTAGATTGATTTTGCTTGTTCTAGATTATTGATGTCTGTTGAAAAGTGTCACTTTCAGTTTAGTTTAGAAAGCATTATCTCTCTCCAGATATTATGAAATACATTTGCATATATTAGCATACAATGTTATATTAATTTAGGCGAATATTAGACTGCAACGGAACTCATAAATCGAGCAAAATGCTTAATGCAAAACTCCATTATCATTCAAAAACTATTACTAAATGAGAAAATTTTTGATAATGAATTTAGAAAATTTTTTTTCAACTAGAACTAATACATTTAATATTGATTTCAAAAATCAAAATTGTACGTAAGGTTAAATATTTCTATTCAAATCCGTTCAGTTCATTTCGACATGTATCTATCAGAGTCAATGAAAATAAATGTTTCTATTATTAGTTTATAATTATTGATAATAAACATTGATATTTTCTGTTGTTTGACGTCAATTCCAAAGTTCTGTGTTTAGCAAAACTAAATTTAGAAGCTAATTATTAGAAATCATGTCCGGTTCCGTTTTACAAGAAAAGTCAAGAAGATTATAATGAACGCAATCTTAAATATAATAAACTGCTTAAGTGTATTATGTTTATAACATATAGACAATGCCTGACATCATTCGACATGTAGAAACTAGACTAAAAAGAAAATGGCTCTATTCAATATTATATTGTTCTTTACATTACTAAAACAAAAACTTTTCGATTAATGTAAAGGATAATAAAATGTGTTGTTTTTTTTTATTAACATATTTGAATCATCGTAAAAGAAAAAAATCTCAAAAAAATCACAATAAATAAATAATAATTATTATTTCTTTTTATTTGTTATACCTAATGTCGATGATGTTAAACGTATATGTTCAAGAGCTTCCTGTAAGGTTTGTGCTATATCCGTAATTGCATTTCTTGATGATGGTTTTTGACAATGTGCAAGTATTGTACGACATGATTGATCAAGAGAAGTAAATTTTTCAATAGTTTTATCAAAATTTTCTCTTGTTAATTCATGTCGAAGTTCAGAAGCAGCCTCAGTTTTTCTTGTTGAAACACTCAGCAATAATTCAATTACTTGTATATATGTATTAGCTAAATTTTTTTTTGCTGTTTCATCTTGTGATCGTATTGATTGAGCCACACCTTTAATTGACATGAAAAAAGACTTTATAAAAAAAAAAAACAACAATTCAATAAATACTTACTATTAATAATACGAATCTAAAAAATAAAAAAAAAACAATATCTTTTTCAATTTCAGTGAACAAACAAAAAAAACACTTACAATACGCCATAAACGAAATGAAATGAATAATAAAGAAATTTCTCCAATAACACTTGGTTTTTTTAAAAAATAAATATCAATAACAAATGAAGCAATAACAACAATTGCATCTAACCATTCCATTTTTTTTGTTCGAAAATCCCACCATTTTTTTCCAAATGCATATATTTTAGTAATAACTTCAAAAACAAATATAGCTAATAAAGCAATTGATGCATAATGTAATATTTCAATTGCTAATTCTAATTTATGATTTGTAACTTCTTCATTATTTGTTATATTTTTTGTGTTTTTATGTTCACATTTTTCATTTAAATATATAAAATCTAATAATAATTCACCAACAACAAGTAAACAATCGAGAAGTACAAGTATTATAATTGCTATATGAAATGTTGTTTTTTCTACTATATGTACAATAAAACGTTGATGATTAAATTTAACATTCCACCAATAATTAAAACATGAACAACATTTATCATTACAACAATTATTATTGTCATTTAATTCTTGATCAAATTGTTCAACTGTTGTTAATGTATGTTTAGAAAAATAACTATCGATTAAATCTATTCTACTTGATATATTTTCATTAGTTGATGTTGCCATTTTTACTTTTTTTTATTTGAATCTTATTTTTCTTTGAGGAGGTTATTTTATCTTGAAGTATCACGCACACTAAGCGTCTTATCAGTGAGAAAGAAAAAAAAGAAGAAGACAATTGCAAATAATTATCTTTACAATCCTACTTTATTTTTAAAATAAGTTGATAAATAATATTTAAATTTTTTATTATATATTTGTTGATAAAAATAAATTTGTGATAACATTATTAGATTAATTTAATTAATAAAATTTTATTGACAGAAAATTGCAAGAGATACTTATTATATTTTCATATAGAATAAAATGAGAATATTCAATCATAGAAAACCAATTGTTAAAATCGATATTTATCATAATTCACTGAGAAGATCATATTTAATTAGTATACGATAATATAATCTCAGCTCACTTGATATTAGTTTAGAATACAAAATTTTTGGTTCAACTATATTTTCTATTAGAATATGATAGAGAAATTCGATTCGTTATAAATTAATATTTATATATAAATAAGATAATCGAATAATCACTTATATCAAACGATTTGATTAAGCGAGTTTTCTGAAAAAAGCTCGTGTTTTTTTTTTTTTTGAAAATAATATACAATTCACAAATAGCCGCCATTTAAATACAGCAAGAAGGATGTTACATGATAAGTAATAAATTATGCATAAATAAGATAGTAAAAATACTTGTAATCCTCGGTTAGACGTTCGTTGAATATGAGCGTAGGTATGACATAGAGATTGGCATCTAATAACAACATTATTCTTCATAAGTTAAATAATGAACAAAACCATCAAAGAGATATTCTTCTGTGTAATCGAGTCCAAACATTTGACTCCACAATACTCAAATGTACAATGCGTGTAGGCAACGATGAAAATGGTTGGATCGAGCACTTACAAAACTGGTATTTTTCTGCATTTTCATATGAAAATAAAAATAATTTATTAAAACAATATTATATTAGGAGAAGACGAAATAGTTGTTTGTATTTGTCAGAAAGAATATACACATATAATTGAATACAATCTTGAAGTATCTTATCTTTCTTTGCACTTAGTATTTCTGATAAAATCTACAGAATAAAATTCGAATAATAGATAACATTTTTGTATCAATATATGTTGTGTTTTTTATTCATCAATGTCATATTGTATTTATTATTGTGTTATTTTTTTTGTTTATTAATTATCGGCAAATTTTTTTTTCTGTTGAAGAAAATGTATTATTATAGAAATAATGTTTTTTTGATGTTCTATTCAAAAGACTCTTGATGCATTTCAGTTATATTAGTATCTATTCAAAAAACTAATTATCTCATTGTTATTAAAACATGGAAAAGCTGACCTTATCAAGAGTGAATGATATTCATTCTCATAGAAGTAAGAGAGTATATGTATCACAAGAACGGAAAAGGAATCTTATTTAACTTCCTCTACAAAGAATTAACTATCTTCAACGAATAATATCATTTCTTTTCCGATTCTATATAATAGTACAGAAAAAATAAATAAAATAATGAGAATATAATTCAGTTAAAAAGAGTATATCAAGTTCAACATTTTGTACTCTATGTCTTTTTGCTTTTATTTCTCCATATTGATTCTACTACGTTAAGTCATAATATAACAAGGCAAAAGAAGTTGTCAAGGACAAAAAAAAAAAAGAAGAAAACCGGAACTTGTCAATCGAGCAAAGAGGAGATTTGGTGAACTTTCTATATATATAACATCAAGATACATAACATGTTTCATTTCCGCAGAATACAATCATCTTTCACATAAGATTTATTCATCAATTTTCTTCAAAAATGTAAAATTACGTGAATTGTCTGCATGTATTTTCTTTCGTGCATCTTTTGCTTTCATAATAAAAATAAAATAATAATTAAATATTCTCTGTCTTCTTTTATTTTTGCCATTCTATCTCTTCATGACCGATCCATATTTTAGGAAAAAAAACGTACAAAAAAAGAGAACAACCGGAGCCTGACAAAGATCCACACGAAAAAAAACAACAAATGTTGTAATTAGACAAGAAATAAAGATCTAAGAAGAGAAAAACAAAAAAAGACCGGCTTGTATTAACATATTTGTGCTCCTCACAAAAAAAAAAAAAAATTTCTTCAATAAACAACAAC